GATCTATCCGTTGATTTAAGCATAGTGTTAAAGTCCCCTACTATTCTTGTATTTACTATTGATTACTTCCTTTATGTTTTATAGCTGCATTTTGTATTTGATTGCTTTCATGTTGGATGCATAAATATTTACAAATGTTATATTTTCCTGTTGGATTGTTCCCTCTATGATTATGTAGTGTTTTTCTCTATCTCTTGTTACATTCTTTGTTTTAAAAATCTAGTTTGTCTGATAGAAGTATTGCTACCCCAGCTTTATGTTTAGTTCCGTTTGCATGATAAATGCTTTTCCATCCGTTTACTTTCAATCTGCTTGTGCCTTTAGGTCTTAAGTGAGTCTCTTGTAGCCAGCATATAGATGGTTCTTACTTTTTTATCCATTCCATGACTCTGTCTTTTGATTGTACTGTTTAGTCCAATTACATTCAGAATAATTATTGACATATACTTATTGCCATTTTGTTACTTGTTTTATGATGGTTTTCATAGTTCTTCTGTGTTTCTTCTGTTGCTCTCTTCTCTCATGGTTTGTTGGCTTTCTTAGTAATATACTTGCATTCCTTTCTCTTTCTATTTTGCTTATCTATTGCTGGTTTTTGATTTGTGGTTACTGTTATGCTTGTATATAAAACCCAGTGCATATAGCAGTCTATGTTACCTTCATTAGATTAACTTGATAGTTGCTTCAGTTTGAACACATTCTGTACTTTCCCTCTCCCCCACATTTTAGGTATATGGTGTCATTTTTACATCCTTTTATTTTGTGAATCCCTTTACTGCTTTTTATACATATACTTATTTTGCTGCTTTTTTGTTTCCATTTTTCTCATTCATAGTTAAGATCTTTCCTTTCTATTCAAAGAATCCCCCTTTAACATTTTTTTGTAGAGCTCGTTTAGTGATTAAGACTTTCTTTAATTTTTGTTTGTCTCAGAAACTCTTCATCTGTCCTTCTATTCTGATGAACCTTACTGCATGGAGTATTCTTGGCTACAGGTATTTTTCTTTCAGCACTTTGAATATATTATTCCACTCGCTTCTGGCCTGCAAAGTTTCTGTTGAAAAATGCACTGATAGCCTTGGGGTTTCTCTTGTATTTAAATATCTTCTCTTGCTGTTTTTTAAATTCTCTCCTTATCACTACTTTTTGCCATTTTAATTACTGTCTGTCTTGGTGTGGACCTTCTTTTTTTTTAAATGTTTATTTTTGAGAGAGAGCACATCAGCGGGGAAAGGGCACGGAGAGGGGGAGACATAATCTGAAGTAGGCTCCAGGCTCTGAGCTGTCAGCACAGAGCCTGACGCAGGGCTTGAACTCACATATTGCGAGATCATGACCTGAGCTGAAGTCAGATGCTTAATCAACTGAACCATCCAGGCACCCCTTGGGGTGGACTTTCTTACATTGATTTTGTTGGGGGCTCTCTGTGTCTCCTGGATATGGATTTCTGTTTCCTTCCTCAGATTAGGGAAGTTTGCAGCTATTTTACCTTCGATACATTCTCTGACTCCATTTCTCTCTCTTCTGGGATTGCTATGGTGTGAATTATTAATTATACTTGATGGTGTCACTGAGTTCCCAAGTCCATTTTTAAAAAATTATGTTTATTTATTTGAGAGAGAGAGAGCATGAGAGAGAGAGGAGAGAGAGAGCACAAGGGGGGGGGGCAGAAAGAGACAGAGACACTGAGCTTCAGGCTCTAAGCTGTCAGCACATAACCTGACGAGGGGCTTGAACCCATGAACTATGAGATCTTAACCTGACCTGAAGTCGGATGCTTGATCAACTCAGGCACACAGGCTCTCTGAAGTCCATTTTTTATTTTTATTTTTTCCCCTCTCCCCTTCAGCTTAATTGCTTTCCGTTCCTCTATCCTCCTGGTTGCTGATCCATTCCTCTGCTTCCTTTAGTCTACTATTTATTACATCTAGTATATTTTTTATTTCAGTTATGGAGTTCTTCATCTCTGATTCATTCTTTTTTATCTCCATGTTCAGAGTCTCACTGAAGTCCAGTGTTTTCTCAAGTCCAGTGAATATCCTTATAGTCATTATTTATTTATATTTTAAAAAGAGAGCATGCACACACAAGTGGGGGAGAGGAGCAGAGAGAGAGAGAGAGAGAGAGAGAGAGAATCTTAAGCAAGCTGTACACTCAGTGTGGAGCCTGATGTAGGACTCAATCCCACAACCCTGAAATCATGACCTGATCCAAAATCAAGAGTCAGATGTTCAACCGACTGAGCCACCCAGGCACCTCCATCCTTATAATCCTTTAAATAGTCTTTTAGGTATATTATTTATTCCCATGCCACTTAGGTCTCTTGCTATGATTTTCATCCTATTTTTTCATTTGGGACATATTCCTCTGTCTCCTCATATTCTCTAACTCTGTGTCTGTTTCTGTATGTTATGAAAGTCAGCTACATTTTTGGCTCTTGAGAGTAGTGGCTTTATGAAAAAGAGGTCTTATAGTGCCCTGTAATTCAGTGTCCCCTGTTCACCAGAACCTGGCACTTGAGGGGTGTTTCATATGTGTGATATGTATGCTCTGCTATTATGGCAGAGTAACATTTGGCTTTAATTCAGTTGTCTGCAATGGCTCTCTTTGCCTCTTATAGGCAGAGTTTGGACCCTGTGTTATTGGTGGGCTAGTCTGGGGCTGTCTTGGGCTTGGGTGGAATCAGACCAGGCATTTACTAGAAATACAATAACACCAAAATGGAAGGTGCTGCCCCTTTGTTTTCCCCTGAGAAGCTTTCATTGGTGGGTAGGGCCAATAGTGAGACCAGGTGTCTGCTCCCAGCCCACTGCTGGGGTGCACTCAGACTGGTTCCCTACCCCACAGGCATGAGTCACTTTGGAGGGGTGCTAGCCCCTGTTGGGGCTGCTTTCAGCCTGCCAGTCTTATGGTATCATGTTGGATGGACTCTCCCAGAGACATAAGGTGGAGGTCCACAGGAGAATGTGGGTACAGGGTGTAGGGTGTCAGCAAGGTGTGCATGGGTCTGCTGTTGGAGGAGTACTGGAATAAGGCTTGGCTGAAGGGGATATGCCTGCAGAATGTGAGGCAGGTTGCACCATTAGCAGGCTAGGTGGAAAGTATTGGCACTATACTGGTTTCTCATAGGTTTCCATGTACCTACACTGCTGGACAGGGCAGTATTATGGTGCCTGCCAATTCTTCTGCTCCTGGAGAGGTCCCCCAACATCCCTGCCTTGCTCTGCCTGAACAGGCTCTGAGATTAGTAAACTACTCTCCCTTATGCTCCAGGCATTTTTCAAAGTGCTGCATCTGTTTTGCATCTCTGCTGGGCTATTTGTTGTGATGTCTCTTTAAGGGTGGGGAGAGTTTCCTATTGCTGTCTTGCTCTCCCAGAGCCCAGCATGCTGATTTTTTTTTTAATTTTTTTTTTTTTTATGTTTTATTTATTTCTAAGAGAGAGAGAGAGACAGCGTGAGCAGGGGAGGGTCAGAGAGAGAGGGAGTCACAGACTGAAACAGGCTCCAGGCTCTGAGCTGGCAGTCAGCACAGAGCCCGATGCGGGGCTCGAACCCACGAACCGCGAGATCATGACCTAAGTGAAAGTCGGACGCTTAACTGACTAAGCCACCCAGGCGCCCCACCAGCATGCTGATTTTTAATGTTCCGGTATTAAGCACCTCTGATTGTAAGAACTTGTGAAATTATGCCCCTATTGTTTTCAATGCCAAATGTTACGGGGATTCATCTTCCCTGTGAGGGTTCTCTATGCCTTGCGTGAGGGTCTATTTCTTTCCTCTCTCCATACTATGGGTGTCTCCCCTCCACCTCCTTCATTAGTCAGTCCCACAGGTTCTTTTAGCCCCTGATCATATCTTCACCTTCCTATGTAGCCTCTTCTCTTCATTTAGCTGTGGAGAGTCTGTTCTGCCAGTCTTCTAGTCATTTTCTGTATTATTTACATTGATGTGGCTGTTACCTAGTTCTATCCGTGGGAAGAGGTGAGGCCAATATCCTTCTACTCCACCATCTTCCTTAGAAGTCCCCATGAGTTATACAGATTCTTAATTAGCTCAGGCATATAGGTTCCCAATCCATGGCACATTAAAAGCAGTTTATCAAAATGGGGTGTGAGCAGTATGGTAACAAGAACACTACCACAAGGTGCAAGATGCAAGTACTGATGGAATTAAGGCTATAAGCACAGAATAGTAAAAGAAATGAAAACTGTTCTTTGATTCACAGTAGTCTCACTAGTAAATAGTGGCTTAGTAAATGTTGCAAGTGATAGCAGCTGCTCTCTAATTTGGGCAGAATAAGCATAGTGCTACTCTTACATAAGAAAAATAAAGATGGAGGGAAGGATGAGAAGTGTTCTAGTCCTGTCTACCCATAGGAAGACTCATAGAAGTCTCTTTTTCTGTGGACTGAGTCATAAAGGGGAATGAAGTAATGCTCTGTTTTCATGTTCACAGATTATATACAAATTTAAAAATAGCAGTAAAATGAAAGAATGCTCCAAGAGTGTACAGTCGTGTTCACTATTGTGTCCTCAGAATTCATTACAACATCTATTATTTGTTTAGTAAGTAATTGATTACGGGGATGAAACAAAGCTGAAAAGTAATGGTCAATTAGAAACTAAGTTATAATCCATCTTTGACAAATTGGTGGAAAAAATGTTTTTATAGATGATGTTTAAGAAAATACATTAAATGAAATTAAGTATGTTTGTCTGCATTTAGTCTGTATTCCAGAGATGTTTAGATCAATGTGGATACCACTGGTCAGTAAGATGCTGTATTCTTAGTAGAAAACCTTTAATGGTGGAGCTGCCTATTAACCCAGGTTATTGTACAATCTGTATAACCAGATTTTGCACTCCAGTTCCTTTGAAGATGGTTCTGTTTTTTAGTAGAGCATAATTCATTGCTGCATTTTAGTAAACCCTTAAGTACCTTTAGCTATGCTTTTGACATATATTTAATAAAATGAAATGTAATGTTTATATTTTGTAGAAAATGGTTCCCTCTACATAGTGATGGATTACTGTGAAGGAGGTGATCTGTTTAAGCGAATTAATGCTCAGAAAGGCATTTTGTTTCAAGAGGATCAGGTGAGTTAGCATGTAGGAGATTGACTCTTATTCCAGGTTATTGAGAAGCAATTCAAAGTTTATTTATGTGTATATTTATTTGTAACTACAAATGCTTAATTATAATTACTAGCACAGTTTGGTATCAAATTCCAATATCTCAGTCACATTTCTGTTCTAATTAGTTTCTACCTTAGTTCATTTCCCCATCTCATTTCTTGTCTATAATATTATTATATTTGTAACATATGCTATATTCTTTGTGTGTGTATAAATGCATATATTTATGTATATAACTTAATTATTCATTATGATTAATTATTTTATATTCTGTCAATCTGGCTTACTGCTGCCAGACCACATTTTCCTAAAATGTGGCTTTCCTTGATAATTCTAGCTCAGGAAGCCTTGAACTGGCAACTGCATTAAATCTAATATGTGTTTTAACCTCAGAGATCTCTAAAATATGACCCTATCCCACCTAAGCAGTCTTTTTTTTTTTTTTTAATGTTTATTCAGTTTTGAGAGACAGAGCGTAAGTGGGTGAGGAACAGAGGGAGACACAGAATCTGAAGCAGGCTCTAGGTTCTGAGCTGTCAGCACAGAGCCTGCCTGACACAGGGCTCAAACCCATGAACTGTGAGATCGTGACGTTAGCTGAAATCAGACAGTTAACTGACTGAGCCATCCAGCACCCTGTCTTATTTTTTTTTCTAGTATTCCCTAATATGCACCGCTTTTCATTTATTTAATGAATATTTATTGATCATTTATTCCATGTTTGGCACTGTTTGTGTTAGGGACACATGTTTATATAACTCATTTTTCCAGTGTATTTATTATTTCTTTTATTTTGGTAACGCTTTCTTGCCAACTCTCTATTATTAATACTCTACCGTTTTTTTTTTTTTGTTTTTTACAGCACAGCTCAAGTCCCAGCCTTTCCTTTGATTATCCATAACCACTTTAATCTGTGATCTTTTCCTTCTCTAAACTTCTGTTGCAGGTCTCATTATCACCCATTCTTAATTTTTATTCTGTGCTTTTACACAAGGGAATGCTGGGAGTGTTTTATCTGTTGTCTCTTTTAAATTTTATAATCCCCCATGCATTAGTGTGGTTTTATTTATTTAATAGATAAGAAATCAAACAGAGGTTAAGTAGAATATTTGTTTACATAACTTAAATTGTAAAATTATTAAAAAGTTCAGAAATGGAAATAATTCTTTGCCCACTGTTCCATCCCTGAAGATTACTACTGTTTTTAGTTTGGTGTGTTTTTCCACATTTCCTTTATGTACATCAAGATGCAGATATTCAGACATGGAATATTATACATTGCATACTCTATCTTGCTTTTGTCACTTAATTATCTTGATTACCCAAACCTATAAATAGAACAATCTGATGGTTGCCAGTGGGGGAAGGAGAGGGGTGTTTGGCAAAATTGGTAAAGAGCAGTGGGTGATAGGGGCTTCTAGTTGTGGAATGAATAAGTGACTGGAATAAAGGCACAGCATAAGGAATAGAGTCAGTGATATTGTAATAGCAATATATGGAGATAGATGATAGCTACATTTGTGAACATAATATACAAACTATCACTATGTTGTACACCTGAAATTGATGTAACATGTGTCAACTATATTAAAAATTTGGAAAGTAAGGAAGATGTTATTTATAATACAAGAGAAAAAATACAGGCTGTATTAAAAAATAATCTTGATTATTGACACATATTTGTCCATGTTCAATTATATACATTTTAATAGCTGCATTATATCTCATTCTAGCAAAGCCTGTACTTTTTTGTTTCTTTAGGCAGATATTCCAGTATCTGTAATGAATGTCTCACTGTATTTATGCAAAGTGGTTATCATGGTCTTGTATTTTTATTTTTATTTTTTTAAATTTTTTAAAATGTATTGTTTAATTTACATTCCAGTTAGTTAGCATATATTGCAACAATGATGTCAGGAGTAGATTCCTTAATGCCCCTTACCCATTTAGCCTATCTTCCCCTCCCACAACTGCTCCAGCAACCCTCTGTATATTTAAGAGCCTCTCTTATGTTTTGTCCCCCTCCCTGTTTTTATATTCTTTTTGCTTCCCTTCCCTTACGTTCCTCTGTATAGTATCTTAAATTCTTTATATGAGTGAAGTCGTATGATATTTGTCTTTTCCTGACTGACTGATTTCGCTTAGCATAATACCCTCTAGCTCCGTTCATGTAGTTGCAAATGGCAAAATTTCATTCTTTTTGATCACCAAGTGATATCCCATTGTATATAAAACCCACACCTTCTTTATCCATTCATGAGTCGGTGGACATTTGGGCTCTTTCCATATTTTGGCTCTTGTCCATAAGGCTGCTATAAACATTGGGGTGCTTGTGTCCCTTCGAAACAACATTCCTAATTTGAATTTCCTTGTTGATGAGCGATCTTGAGCATTTTTTCATGTGTCTTTTTGCCACTTGGATGTCTTCTTTAGAGAATTATCTATTCATATCCTTTGCCCATATCTTCACTGGGTTATGTTTTTGAGTATTGAGTTTAATAAGTTCTTTATACATTTGGATACTAACCCTTGATCTTCTATGTCATTTGCAAATATCTTCTCCCATTCCATTGGTTGCCTTTTAGTTTTGCTGATTGTTTCCTTCACTGTGCAGAAGTTTTTATTTTGATGAGGGTCCCAATAGCTCATTATTGCTTTTGTTTCCCTTGCCTCTGGAGACATGTTGAGTAAGAAGTTGCTGCAACTGAGGTCAAAGAGGTATTTCCTGGTTTCTCCTCTAGGATTTTGATGACTTCCTCTCTTACATTTAGGTTTTTCATCCATTTTGAGTTTATTTTTGTGTATGGTGTAAGAAAGTGGTCTAGGTTCATTTCCTGCATGTTGCTGTCCAGTTTTCCCAGCACCATTTGCTGAAGAGACTGTCTTTATTCCATTGGATATTCTTTCCTGCTTTGTCAAGGAATAGTTGGCCATATGTTTGTGGGTCCATTTCTGGGTTCTCTATTCTGTTCCATTGATCTGAATGTCTGTTTTTGTGCCAGTACCATACTGCCCTGATGATTACACTTTGTAATACAGTTTGAAGTCTGGGAGTGTGATGTCTCAAGCTTTGGTTTTCTTTTTCAAAATTACTGTGGCTATTTTGGGGTCTTTCCTGGTTCCATACAAAATTTAGGATTGTTTGTTTTAGCTCTGTGAAGAATGCTAGTGTTATTTTGATAAGGACTGCATTGAATATGTAGATTGCTTTGTGTAGTATTGACATTTTAACAGTGTTCTTCCAATCCAGGAGGATGGAGTATTTTTCCATTTTTTTTGTGTCTTCTTCAATTTCTTTCATTAGCATTCTATAGTTTTCAGTGTATAGATTTTGACCTTTTTGTTTATGCTTATTCCTAAGTATTTTATGGTGTTTTTGGTGCAATTGTAAATGGGATTGATTACTTGATTTCCCTTTCTGTTGCTTCATTATTGGCATATAGGAATGCAACTGATTTCTGTGTGTTGATTTATCCTACGACTTTGCTTAATTCATGAATCAGTTCTAGCAGATTTTTGGTAGAATCTTTTGGGTTTCCCGTATGGAGTATCATGTCATCTCCAAAGAGTGAAAGTTTGACTTCCTCCTGGCTGATTTTGGATGCCTTTTATCCCTTTGTGTTGCCTGATTGCTGAGGCTAAGAGTTCTAATACTTTGTTGAATATCCGTGGTGAGAGTGGACATCCCTGTCGTGTTCCTGACCTTAGGGGGAACTCAATTTTTCCCCATTGAGGATGACAGTAGCAGTGGGTCTTTCATTTATGGCTTTTATGATCTTGAGGTAATCTCCTATCTTTACTTTCTTGAGGATTTTTATCAAGAAAGGATGCTGTATTTTGTCAAATGCTTTCTCTGCACATTGTTTTGTATTTTTAAATACATACCTGTTGTGTGATACCTCATTCAGTTCTGCTTTTCCCCTAGTACTGTTTCAGATCCATTTGCTTTGCTATCTGTGCATTTGTTGCTTCTAGCTACGATGTAATGCTCCATGGTATTCATCCAGCTCTACACTTACTTTTATTGCATCATACACCCTTAATTAGTGTAGTCACAATAATTTCACATTAGAATTATTTCTCCAGCAAGGTTGTAATTTACTGTAAAACAGAGATCACAGTTTTCACTAATGTCCTCTCCGGGTACTTAGGAAAGCTGAGTTGGCACAACTAATCATTTGTTTGATAATACCATGTAGATGGGGACTTATGGTTTCTTGGCAGCAACTTGAAAATATGATCACGTGAGATCTTGGGTTATATTTTAGTTAAATACTATTAAATAAGGTAATGTCCTATTTCTCACTTTACTTACCTCCTGTTTCCTCAATTAAGTGTACTAGGTAGGACACAGAACTCAGAGTAAGAAAACTTGGGTTTTATCATTGTTCTACTTACCAGCTTGGTAATTGTTATGTTAACAAATGACTTAACTGTTTTGAGATTATTTCCTCATTAATAGGAATGTTCATACCACATAGCCAACTTCCCTGTTGTGGTGAAGTCAAATAGTGATGTATGTTAATGTACAGAGTGCTAGTTTTTATTAGAATTGTACCTAATGCATTCGATTGCTTATGTTCATTTTTACTCATTTGTCTTTATTAAACTTTAAAATGTTTGCTATTAAATTTCATAACATTCTATAAAATGCATTGTTAGTCTGTGGATTTGGTTCTGCAGTTGGATAAATGTTCTTAGTACATAATGATGTATGTGTGTGTTCTATATATTATGCATCTTGTCGTCCTAGAAATTATTATGGAGATTATGATATTATTCCATAATAAGCAACAAGAATTTAGCAAGTCTTTTTGTAAAATTAATAGAATTTTTCTACTCTTTAGAATGATGTTTTGTTAGCACAAATAAGAACATTGTATATTTTAGCCTCTTTGAAATGGGAATTATTTAAACAGAAACATCCTACTCCTACTACATCCTGCATGCTCTGGGATTTGAGGCCAGAAGTCATTTTTTGTTTTAGACTGCAGGGTGGCATAAATCTGAGATAGTTTTGTCCATTTCTAGAATGGAAGTAGGAAGAGAAAGACCTGTGAAACAAGATGATTTAGACTGGAAGTCTGGTTAATTTATTATAGTAACCAGTACTAGAATAAAATTTTTTATAGGGATATTTGATAAGGGCTTGATGAATATTTTCCTTAAGTGTAAATCTTGATAGCGAGTCATTGGCAAATGTCTAGAACCCTCCCATAAAGCATCTGTTTTCTGCAATATTTATTTAATAATTTCCTATACAAATTTAACCCTGGAAAGGCTGAGCTTCTTTGTTGATTTGGCAAGTCTTAGCATCCAGCTCTTACAACAATGTTGAGATAATTAATATATTGATAGCATATTTACTAATAATAGTATATGTACCTGAAAAAGAATATATGTTTACCTATTAAAGTGACAAAATATTTTTAGATAAATGTAGATGGATAGGATTCTGGGAAGATGGTAGAGCAGGAAGCAGGAAGAATCTGTCTCTCCACCTACATGACAATTACAGTGGCAGAATCTATCCCATGGAACTATTTTGGATCTCTGGAGTCTATTGTGGGCATGCAATTTGTAGGTGAAAGCTTAAATAATAAGTTTGTTTATTTTCAGTCATTTTTACCTCTTAGCTAGGTAACAGAGGCTGCTACCCATTTCCTACCCCCCCAGCACCCAGGCATCCAGCCCTGCATACTTTCCAGAAGCAGTTGAATGTACCTTGTGGGAACCAGGGTGAGCAAAAAGGTCCATGTCCTCCAGATGTCAGGGATCTGTGCTCTGATTATTTATTATTGTCATTATTATTTTAAAGAGAATGAGAGAGTTCACAGGTGGGGAGAGGGGCAGAGGAAGAAAGAGAGAGAGAGAGAGAATCTTAAGCAGAAGCAGGTTCCATACTCAGTTCATAGCCTAACATAGGGTTCAGTACCATGACTCTGGCATCATGACCAGAGCTGAATTCAAAAGTGGAACATTCAACTGACTGAGCTACCCAGGCACCCCTGTTCTCTGATTGTTAATTGCAATTTCTGATCTTGGAGGTGCAGACAAGGAGGTGGACAGCCATTGTTGTTGTACCTCTCCCCTGGTTGAAAGCCCCACTCTTTCATGCTGAGGTGACTTTCAGTAAAGGGCTAGTTCCCCCTCCCCCTTTTTCCCTTCTTCATTTCTCTTTTTTCCCCTTTAAGGAGACATGAAAGTATTCAATTCTTTTCAATGGCTAGTACAGTGATATCACAATATATTTAAATGTCCATTTAGGTGTTTATATTTTTTTGTTTTGATGAACATTGCTGGGATAAACATCCTTTTGTATTTGTGATACTGTATCCGTAGGACAAATTTGAAATTTCAGCTGCTCTTTCAAATGGTATGTGAATTTAAAATTTTTACATACTTTGCCAAATGACTATAATTAACTTTCTCACAAACAAGGTATGCAGAGACTTGTTTCCTCACGTTCTGGCCAACCTTGTGTGTTATTTATTTTTCTCAAGTTACAAAAGTATCTTATTTTAATTAGTGTTATTATTAAGAAAATTTTTATTAGTATTTTGTGTATACATTTATTGGCTTATATTTTCTCCATCATTTACCTTTCCAGTCTTTTCGCCACTTATTTTGAATACCAGTATTTTTCTTAATGATTTGGAAGAACTTTTGCATATTACAGAATTAGCAGTCTATCAATTATGTTGCAAGTATTTTCTTAAATAATTATTATACTTGATTATATATTTTGCCGTGCAGATGTTTTAAATTTTATATAGTCAACATTGTCAATCTTTATTCTTATGATTTACAGGTTTTGATGTTTTGAAATTCCTTCTTCAGTCAAAGATTATAGAAAATCAAACTGTATTTTGTTTTACCATTTTATAGTTTAATTTTTACCTGTTTAAAAATACCATCTGCTAGGAATTCTTTTGATGTTAGGAATGAGTTAGAACTTAAGACCTTGTACTTTCAAGTAGCCAATTTCAGAAATTGTGTTTATATGGTGAATGTGGAAAGAGATAAAACTCAGCTATGTCTTTCAAATTTCTAGCCTGATATTTTTCCTCTCATGATTTTTATTTATGGAGAAAAAAGATGTATTTAAAAATAAAGTCACAGGGGCACCTGGGTCGCTCAGTTGGTTGGGTGTCCGACTTCGGCACAGGTCATGATCTCACGGTTTGTGGGTTTGGGCCCCACTTCGGCCTCTGTGCCAGCTCAGAGCCTGGAGCCTGTTTTGGATTCTGTGTCTCCCTCTCTGACCCTCCCCTGCTTGCTCGCTCTCACTTGCTCCCTCTCTCTCAGAAATAAATTTTTAAAAACATTAAAAAATTAAAAAAATAAAAATAAAGTCACTTACAATCATAGTGTCATAAAATATAAAGTATTTTCATTTTTTGCTCTTTTCTGGAAATTTCTTTCTATATTCTGATTTGTAACAATGCTTCAGTAGCAGTCTCTTACGTTTTAAAGTCAGTGTGGACCCTTGCACATAATGTATCAGCTTGAATAACTACTTCATGTTAGTGACATTAATTACAGTGAAGTTAAAAATTATAGCCTAAATTTGTTTTTTAAGGACTTAGTTCCCCTCAACCCCATATATCCCTGAATGCTTTTTTTTGGTGGAAAGAAATACTGTGAAATGTAAATTTTAAAAGAAATGACAAATCTGATTTTCCCTCTTAGATTTTGGACTGGTTTGTACAGATATGTTTGGCCTTGAAACATGTCCATGATCGAAAAATTCTTCATCGAGACATAAAGTCACAGGTATGTTTATTCTGTCACTAATAGCTTCTAAATGGATATGGACGTGGAGCCAGCATTGTCTTAGGCTACAATTCTTTAGTCTGATCCAGTCTGCATTGGATTATCTGTTCTCCCTTCACTGTTCCCCCTTCACTGTAATCCTAGATATCCTCATTATATGCCTTGTGTGTTAGAGCTCCTGCCTCCTCCCTATATCCCCCTCCTTCTGGGTTTAGTCTCATAATGACGGGGAAAAAACCCAAAGAATAAATATGTGGAAGGTATATTTTGGGAGGATATTGTATGTCTGAAAATGACTTTTTTCCATTCTCTTACTTTAATGATAATTTGGATATAAACTTCTAGGTTGGAAATTTGTTTTCCTACAGAATTTTGAAGATATTGGTCATTTGTCTCTTGGCTTCTAGTGTTGCTATTTAGGAATTTAAAGCCAGTGATTGCTTATCCTGTTTTTTCTCTTTGGATGATTATGGGATATTCTGTATGTCCCCGTTGTTCTGAAATTTCATAGGGTTGTGCATTGGTGAAGTTCAGTTTTTATTTCTTATGTTGTGTACTTTTGATCTGAGAATGTATATTTCCCTTAGAAATGTTCTGGAAAATGTTTAAAAGTATTTTTTCAGATATTATTTCTCTCTCACTACCTTCATGGTCTTCTGAATTATGTTTCTAGACCTATGTTGGAGCTTCTTAATCTAACCCTTCCAAGTACCCTATTTGTTCTTTCTCATTTTATTCCTTTGTCAGGTGCCTTTTAGGTGAATTCCTCAACCTGCTTTCCAGTTAGCCAGATCCTTTTTTAATTTTGTCTAAACTGATACATACCTATTTACTTTTTTTATAATGACTATTTTTTCTCCAAGATTTTATTTTGTTTAAAAAAATTTTTTTAAATGTTTGTTTATTTTTGAGAGAAGGACAGAGCCCAGGTGGGGGCAGAGAGAGAGGGAGACACAGAATCTGAAGCAGGCTCCAGGCTCTGAGCTGTCAGCACAGAGCCTGACGCGGGGCTCAGACTCATAGAGTGTGAGATCATGACCTGAGCCTAAGTCAGACACCTAACCAACTGAGCCACCCAGACACCCCCTTCAAGATTTCTACATGGTTTTTCATATACCTCTGTTCTTAATCTGATTGGTTTTTGTTTCATAATGTCTTGTTCTTTTTAAATGGATTTCTTTATGTCTTTGCAGTTTTCTTTTTTTGTTTGTTTGTTTTTTAAAGATTTTATTTTTAAGTAATCTCTACACCCAACATGGGGCTCAAACTTACAACCCTGAGATCAAGAGTCACATATTCCACTGACTGAGCCAGCCAGGCACCCCTCTCTTAGCTAAACATACTTATTTTAAAGTTTTTGTTGGACTGTTTTATAAAATTAATTCTGTCTCGAGTGAATTCTTGTTCTGATTATTTTATTGGCTTTTTTTTTTTTCCCCAAACTCTTTGTGAAGATGTTTTGTCCCCCATAGCTCACTCATCTGTGCACAGAGGGTTCTATCATGGATGCCCCCTGGGCTCTCTCAGTCCTCACATTAGGTAGGTCAGAGGGGATTTCTCTCCTGGTGTCAAGGCCATGTGTTTGTCTTACCTTCTTACACCTGCAGCCTCTTGTATAGCCTGATTGCCTCAGAATGTGTAGTAGGAAGAGAAGGAGCTGTGATGGGAAATTCATACCTCATCCCTGTCCCCCAACCCTCTGCCACCTAATTCCAATTTCACCCCATTTTACTCCATCCCACTCATCCCCACTTTGTATTATCTTTGCCTGTGAACATGTGTCTGATTAAGTCTCCTGAATGATGTAGAGTTTAACTCATGTTCCACAAATTCCTGCCTTTACTGTTTGATAGAGCATTGGAGTTACATATTTATGAATGCAAATTAATTGGATAAATTGTTGGAAAATTTGAAGGTTCTTTTGCTCTATTTAGGCTAATTAGAATTTTTATGCAGTTTTTTTTTTTTAATGGTGGTATCTGGGTTCATTTTTTTGAAGTTATATTGAGGTATATTTCAAATACCATAACATTCACTATAATGTTTACGGTTATGTTCAAATAGTTTAACATTTTCATCACTGAAAATGTACAGTTCAGTGATTTTTAGTATATTCACAGAGTTTTGAAACCATTACCATTCTCAATTTGAGAACATTTTTTTTATCATTCCAAAAAGAAACGCTGTACCATTAACAATCACTTTCTATTCTGTCTCTACCTAGATTCTGGAAACCACTAATCTACTTTCCTTCTCAGTGGATTTGCCTGTTTCTGGACATTTTATATAAGTGGAATCATATAATATGTGACTGTGTATTTTAAGTGGGCTGTCTTTTGTTGCTAGTGAATTGTAAGAGTTCTTTATTCTGGATACAAATTCCTTGTCAGATACTTGACTTGCAAATATTTTCTCCAGTTCTGTGGGTTGTCTGTTCACTTTTGATAATGTTCTTTGAACAGAAGTTTTTAATTTTGATGAATTCCAATTTATTTATATATTTTTTCTTTGCTTGTCCTTTTGGTGTCCTCTTTAAGAAACCATTGCCCAACCCAATAACGCAAAGGTATACTTCCATATATTCATTCCTCTAGCAGTTTTATAGTTTTAGTTCTTGTATTTAGGAATCCATTTTGAGTTAATTTTTGTGTATGGTATAAGGATCTACATTCATTCTTTTGATTACGGATATCCAGTTATTCCAGCTTTTTAAAAAATGTTTATTTATGGAGCATCTGGGTGGCTCAGTCAGTTCAGTGTCTGACTTTGGCTCAGGTCATGATCTCATGGGTTCATGAGTTCAAGCCCCACATTGGGCTTTGTGCTCACAGCTCAGAGCCTGGAGCCTGTTTCGGATTCTGTGTTTCCCTCTCTCTGCCTCTCCCTGCTTATGCTCTGTCTCTCTCTCCTTCAAAAATAAACAAATATTAAAAAAATTATATATTTTTGAGAGAGAGCACAGAGGAAGGACAGAGAGAGGGACATAGAGAGAGGATCTGAAGTGGGCTTCCCTCTAGCAGAGAGCCCAAAGTGGAGCCGTGAGAAAGCTGGCACCTCCCAGCTGTTTTTAAACCAGATTGGTGAAATCTTTTTTTGGTGAAAGTAGTTGTCAGAACTGGACTGTAACAATATTTCTGGCTTTTTATATCTCTTAAACAGAACATATTTTTAACCAAAGATGGGACAATACAACTTGGAGATTTTGGAATCGCTAGAGTACTTAATAGGTAACGTATTAATTTTAAACATATTTGTTTTAAACATATTTGTTTTGATATAATGTCCATGATGGTGTATATGTTGTAATTTATAATATATTTTAGTATCTTAAGCTTGTCCAATAATTCTTTTTTTGTTCTAGTACTGTGGAGCTGGCTCGAACTTGCATAGGGACTCCATACTACTTGTCACCTGAAATCTGTGAAAATAAACCTTACAATAATAAAAGGTATTTAAAATGATATTCATTACAGGATATATTTCCTTTAAATATTTCTCTTGTGCTGTATTTAGTGATCTTCTGACCTTCAGAATAATATTCCAAATCATTAATACTCACATAAACATAAGTGTAAATATATATATAACATATACACACACACATATACCCTTTTTTTTTTTTTTTTTTTTACTGTACAATGAGGGGGATTGCAAAGAAGTTATTTCACTATCTTTCTAAAGGAACTATAGAAAGTATCACCATATTGTTTAAGTTATAATTGGAAATAGAGTACTTTCTTTGGTCTTTGTAATAGCACTTCTATTGAAATACATAATAGTTAATATTTATTAAACACCCACTATATGCCCAGCACTGGTTTTAATACTCTCTGTGTATTGACTCCTTTACTCTTCACAATAAGCTAATGAGTTGTAGGCATTAATTATTCCTCCTTTTCCTTGTAAGGAAAGCCAAATGCAGAGAGAGAGAGGGAAAGCAACTTGAAAGTCCCAGGCATCTGGCTCCCAAGCCCAAATCCCTAACATTGAGTTGTATTGTGGATAACGGATTGTAGACTATGTGACTGGGATGAAGAATTCTGCTGCTGAATTCTATTTACCATTTAATTTCTTTCTAACTGAAATATACTGTCCAAGAAATATTGGTCTTAAATTTGAAAGCAGGTTTGCCTGGGTGGCTCAGTCACTTACGTGACTGACTTTGGCTTCGGACATGATTTCGTGGTTCATGAGTTCGAGCTCGGCGTTGGGCTCTGCACTGACAGAAATAGCATTGAAGTCTAAAATTACTTCAGCTCAGGGCACGTGAGCACACAGCTATAAGCTTGTATGTGTGCACGCGTACTCTCTCTCAAAATAGTAAGTAAATAAATTTAAAAAAAATTTGAAAGCACCCACAGAAGTTAAAAGGAAGAAAGTGATGGCTGTTTTTTTGAGAGTAGGAAGGAAGCTGTGTTTAAAACCTGAGCACTTGAGGCTGAGAACCTCATTCCTAGCAGTGTATTTTTTCAATGAATTTAAATTACAATAATCAATCTAGTTCACGGAAAGTATTATTGATGTATATTCTTAATGATACTAGGATTTTCTTTGAGGCAAAGTAATTTTTTAAGTTTATATCATTATTTTGGCGGGGGAGGGTGGAGAGTAGGGGCAGGAGAGAATCTCAAGCAGGCACTGCCAGTGTCAGCAAGGAGCCCAAAGCAGGGCTTGAACTTATGAACTGTGACATCATGACCTGAGCCTAAATCAGAAGTTGGATGCTTAACCAACTGAGCCACCCGTGTGCCTGATGTAATTAGATGTATTTCTGTGTCTTATGAATAAGACAACTGCGAAAAATATCAGTCTTTATCTTTAAATTAGAAATGTATTTAATCATCCTTTGGATAATTTTTTTTAATGTTTATTTTTATTTTTGAGAGACAGAGAGAGACAGAGTGTGAGTGGAGGAGGGGCAAGAGGGAGACACAGAATTCGAAGTAGGCTTCAGGCTGCCAGCTGTCAGCACAGAGCCCGACAGTGGCTCCAACTCATGGAACTGTGAGATCTTGACCTGAGCTGAAGTTGGATGGTTAACCAATTCAGCCAACCAGGTGCCCCTGGAGAATTTTCTATAAAACCAATTTTGTGGTGAAAAAATTTTTTTTTAAATTTTTAAATTTTTTAAATTTGTATCTGAGAGAGAGAAAGAAAGCGTGAGCAGGGGAGGGTCAGAGAGAGAGGGAGACACAGAACCTGAAACAGGCTCCAGGCTCTGAGCTAGCTGTCAGCACAGAGCCTGATGTGGGGCTCAAACCCACAAACTGTGAGATCATGACCTGAGCTGAAGTCGGACGCTTAACCAGCTGAGCCACCCAGGCGCCCCTAGTGAAAATGTTTTAAAAATGTCATGGGTGAGCATTGTCAGTATACTCTAAAATTCATATTTTTCTAAATATGTCTTTAAGTATTTTTTAAAATAGGATCATTAGTGTAATTGTTTTGTTTATACATGTTACATGTACTAACATGTTCAAGTTACTAAATAGCTTAATTACGTTCACATTTGTTTTTTGCAAGTTGATCTTGAAATTAAATAGATTTTGGGGATTTATAGATTTATATTTTTAGTTTTTTGTGAGTTTGGTTAAAGGTGACTTTGGGATTTCAGTACTGGATTTTCTTCTTTCCCAGTAAGTTCAGCTTTCAGGAGCAGCGGTCTTTTGTTAATTACTAAGGGCAACTGTAGCTCTATGAGATTTTTACTTTTTCTTTTTAAAAATGTAAAGTAGTGTTTTTTTAATTATAAAAATATGTATAAAGGAGAGGAAGAAACTATAAGAGATAACATAATAAGTCCTTAAATTAAGATTAAATATATCTACCTTACATAATATTTCTGTTGGCTGTCATCTTTATTTCAGGTTAATTTGAGTAAATTAATATTTTCTTATTTATCATTAAAATGTATTTTGCTTTTATAATATATATTTTTATTTTATTTTATTGTTTAAAAAATGTTTATTTTGAGAAATAGCACAACATGTGCACCTAGAGGTGGGGCAGGAGAGAGGGAGAAAGAATCCCAAGTACGTCCTGTACTGTCAGTGCTGCCCTGATGTGGGGTGGGGCTCGATCCCGTGAACTACGAGATCATGGCTCGGGCTGAAGTCAAGAGTCAGATGCCTCACTGAGCCACCCAGGTGCTGCCCTTATAATATGTTTCTAAATCATGGTATTTCATAAATAATTAAATAAAATAACTAGAATATTGATGAAATTTACTGATTTTGTTCTTTTAAATATTATATTTCCTTAATAAAACTTTAAAATAATTGCTTGGGCAACTGCTGTTCTTCTAATCTGGGATAGTTACTTTTATCATTTGGTTATGGTTGAAATTTTGAGTTTTAAAGGATGTATTTTGTGGAACACATTCTCAGAAAGCATTTTCATTCTGCTTTTGTTTCCTTTAAAAAAATTTATGTAAATTCTGATACTTAGAGAAAATTTCTCGTTTTTCCCTATTCTAGTGACATTTGGGCTCTGGGGTGTGTCCTGTATGAGATGTGCACACTTAAACATGCAGTAAGTAGTAGCTTCTGAAATATTTTAAAAATTATGTCTTAAAGTACCTATAGTATTTCTATATTTTAAAAATCATATGCCATCTTTCAGGTGACCCACTTGTACTGGAAATTCTTCTGTTAGTTTTTAAGTTTCTCATCTTCTTTCAAGTATAAATTTAAATAGATTTTCCTTTAATATGTGCATATATTACATATGTATGTTACATATTTGTTATTATAATAGGTATATCATACTTTTTTCCAAGAAATTATTTCTAATGACAAAAACAAATTTGCTGTCTTTTTAATGTTATATTCATGTGTGAATTTGGCATTTTAGCTTATTTATTTCATCTTAGTGATTTCTCTCAAAACACCCAAATTATTTGAATTTTGTATTGAAATTGAAGAACAGTTTTTCACCATATTCATTGAGGGATTTTATCAATTCAAATCCTCTTTATTAAAACTTTTATTTTTTAGACTTTGTTGAGATGGCACGTAATACACTCAGAAGGGGGAGTTTTTGTCTTAAATAGGTTGAATTTTAGTCACTTTTTATTTCAAAATTTTTCTTTTTAAAAATGTTCCCCCATTAAACAGTAATGTATTTTCATTACAGAAGTGAATGAATATCAAAAGCAGTTCCTCCAAATGATAATAAGTACTTATAATATTTTGTTGTTTCCTTCCAGGCTTTCTTCTACATTAGTTTATAAAATGATTTTTTCCCTTTCTCTAAAGTCTGATTATATTTTATAAGTAGTTTGATAAACCTGTTTGTACTTCCTGATATTATTTGGAGGATATTTTGTGGTTTGTTTTTTCATCATTGCATACTCTTCTACTATATTGCCTTAGCTGTTTATTTTTCTTTCTCAAGGTAAAAAAGCATACCAAAGTGATGTGGAATGGTACTTATCAGATGTGTATTTGAAAGAATTGGTCATATTTTTCTGACACAGTCATTTTAGGTCTAAATCAGTGTATTTTCTTTCATTTTTCGTCTACATTGTTCTGTTACCATTGCTGCTGTATTTTGGAATTATTTACACTTAAGTAGACACATGTAATTAAGTAATTCACTAACCTTTATGAAAAATTTGTCATTTGAGAGATAAATGAAAATTGATTGTAGTGAAGGGATAATTTTTCATTCTGCATTTAGAATTCCTTCTTAGGTACATAGGTATTTCTAGACCACTGGATTGTACTCACATTTTAATAAGGTGAATATCATATTTTAATTGTGTAGAGATTTCAACATTTAACAGAACTTTTTTATTTTGGTATAATCATCAATACCTAATTTATAGCAAGTTTTGTTTTGTTAATGTGCATGTTAAGAACATGTTACAGGGGCGCCTGGGTGGCTCAGTTGGTTAAATGTCTGACTTCGGTTCAGGTCATGATTTCATGGTTCGTGGGTTCGAGCCCCATGTCAGGCTCTGTGCTGGAGCCTGCTTCAGATTCTGTGTCCACCTCTCTCTCTGACCCTCCCTTGCTAATGCTGTCTCTCTCTCTCAAAAGTAAATAAACATTAAAAAAAAAAGAACATGATACAGTGTACAGCTGTTCTGTACTTTTTTAGCAGAGGTATCCAAAGCTTACCTTTACTTCGAAACTGAAATCTTTTGATCTTAAACTGCCCTACTTCTGTTTGTTTTTTTCTTAATTTCAGTTAGAGTTTATAGTGTGTTTACTCTTTCTTTAAGTTTGGTTATTTACTTAGAGAGATAGAGACGGTGTGAGTGAGGGAGGGGCAAAGAGAGGGAGAGAGACAGAATCCCAAGCAGGCTTCTTGCTGCCAGTGTAGAACCCCATGTGGGGCCTGAATCCATGAAACTACCAGATCATGACCTGAGCCAGAACCAAGAGTCAGAGGCTTAACCGACTGATCCACCCAGGTGCCCCTGTTGTGTTTACTCTTAAAATATATACTATTCCCATTGATGTGGCTTATTGATATGGCTTATATTCCTCTTTGGAATGTTTGCCACATTGCTCCTTACATGGCTTTTGAGAGTGTCACATACTCATTAATAATAAACAGTGTTTAAAAGGAAAGTAATTAGTATTTTTATTTATTATATTTTTCTCAGATACTTGTAGTTATGTAGTTAATTTCCTTTCCCAGTTACTGCAACAGGGCACACAGGTAGGCAGGTCTTAAATGAAGACTACAAGGTTTGTTTGTTTTTTTCTTTATTATTATTCTTATGTTTTTATAAAATCTTTAATACCTTTATTCCATCTTTCAGTATGTTGAATAGGTAAAAATTAATCTTATAGCAAGTTATGTTTTACAAGGACTGTTAATCTCTTTTAAGTATGTTTATAAATAACTAAGTGAACTTTGTTCTAAAGAACATATGCTAAATATATATGTACATGTATATGCTGATTAAAATATTTATAAGAGGATTATAGTTCTGTTCTCTAGGAAAAGAACTATTTCTCATTGTTTATTCCTATTTTCAATTTATGTTTCATATATGTTAATTTATTTTCTGGATTTTAGTTTGAAGCTGGCAGTATGAAAAATCTGGTACTGAAGATAATATCTGGATCTTTTCCACCTGTGTCTTTACATTATTCTTATGATCTCCGCAATTTACTCTCTCAGTTATTTAAAAGAAATCCTAGGGATAGACCATCTGTCAACTCCATATTGGAGAAAGGTTTTATAGCCAAACGCATTGAAAAGTTTCTCTCACCTCAGGTATGTGTTTTGTTTTGTTTCGTTTACCTTAAAATAGTAAGGTTTTGGTGCTTAATTAGGACATGGCCTATGTTTTGAGGAGGGCACATCACAATTCTGGGAGATTGAAGTAGCTTTTTCAGATAATACCAGAGTCATTGTTCTTTCCATTCTCATAAAATTCTTCCTCTTTGTATTTGTTTCCTAGTTGTGAATCTGTAGTAGAGAAAACATTCCTCCTGTGTTTCCTCTTAATATTTAATACTGAAATTTTTACACTTCCAGTTACCAAATGTGTGGTAGTTTTCCCACACCGAGCAATTCTGCAACACAGCTGGGTGTCCTGCAATTTAGTTCAGTTTGGCACTGTCTACCTGGAGATGTATAACACCATATCCCACAGATTAAGGGCTCAGTCCTACAAGACTGCCCTACTTTTGAAGCCAATGGCAAGTTTAGGTTGTCACCTGTGCTTTTGACTGACCAGCTATAAATCAGAGGTTCCCACAACCCCTTCTCTGGTTTGATTACTAGAGTGGTTCACAGAATTCAGAGAAACATTTACTTAAGTTTACCAGTTTATTGTGAAGGAATACTAACTACAAACGATACAGATGAACAGGCAGGTGAAGGGATACATAGGGAAGGCTCTGAAGTGTCCTGAGTGAAGGAGCTTTTGTTCCGTCAGACTGGGATGTGCCACCCTGCTGGCATGGTGACCAACACAGAAGCTATCTGAATCCTGTCCTTCAGTTTTTTTATGGAGGCTTTATTATGTAGACATGATTGATTAAATCATTGGTCCTTAGTGTTTGATTCAACCTCTAGTCCCTTTCCTCCCCAGAAGGGGAGCAGGACTGAAAGTTCCCACATGCTAACGTGAGGCAGATTTCCCTGGCAATTAGCTTCCATCCTTAGGGACTTTCCACATGTCACCTCGTTAACATAGACTCTGGAGTGTAGTGAAAAGAGCTTGTTAAGAATAACAGAAGACACCTTTATCCTTTTTGGATTTTTTTGGATACGTTTATCCTCTTACCAGTTAGGTAATTTAAGAGTTTTAGGAGCTGTGTGCCAGGAACTGGATACTGAATATTTATTTTTTAATATATATCACAGTATCACAAAATCATTCCTCTGTCTCAGGTTTCTATTGTTTTGTTTTGTTTATCATGGTACAGTGTGCATAACATAAAATGTATCATCTTAATATTTTGAGTGCTCAGTTCAGTGGCATTAAATAGACTTTCACGGGGCATCTGGGTGGCTCATTGGTTAAACCTCTGACTTCAGCTCAGGTCATGATCTCATGGTTTCTGAGTTCAAGCCCCACATCGGTCTCTGTGCTGACAGCTCAGAGCCTGGAGCCTGCTTCAGATTCTGTATCTCCCTCTCTCTCTCTGCCCCTTCCCTGCTCATGTTCTGTCTCTCTCTCAAAAATAAATATTAAAAAAAATTTTTTTTAAATAGACTTTCACTGCTGTGCAATTACTGCTACCATTCAGTTTCATAGCTCTTCACCCTGTAGAACAAACTCAATGCCCAGTAACCACTAACTCCCTTTTCCCCTCTGCCACAACTCCTGGCAGCTGCCTCTCTACTCTCTGTCTTCTTGGGCTTCTAACTGTAATCTTATTACTAAAAACAATTTTTAACTCAGTGTAGTTAACACACACAGTGTTATTAATTTTACATGTATGTTATAGTGATTCAGTGATTCTGTATAATAGTGCTCATCAGGATGGGTACTCTTGATCACCTCACCTACTCACCCACCACCCACCCACCCAGCCCCCTCCCTGATGGTAACCATCTCTAACTGTAAAGTTCTTAAACCTTTCTGTACCTTACTTTACTGACCTGTAAACAGTGAGATTATAAATACATCTAAATCATGAGGTGGTTATAAGAATTTTAAAAAAAATGATAATGTATGTAAACTGCTAGGGTGTCTAGCATGTAGTAAGTGCTCAATATATTCAATGTAAAATATCAATATGTTGTCTTATACTAATATAAATATATTAGTTTCAAGTTATATGATTGTATTGTATTTAATAATTATTGGAAGCAATTCTCTGGGCACGTGTATGTATAATAGATTATTGATCACGATTTTTTCTCTAGTACTCACATAATTTGCATAATAAATATTTGTTGAGTTGAACTAAAATTTTAATTTGATGGGACTTGTTAAATATACCAAAACAATTAGTACAGGTTATTGATAGAAATGATCACCTGAAACTGGAATTATTTTATATTACATGTACGTGTGGCCTATGTTAATTTAAATGATCACTGTCAAACATTTTTAAATTTAATGTTTGTTTATTTGTTGGGGGGGTGGGTGGCCTAACTGGGGGAGTGGTAGAGAGAGTCCCAAGCAAGCTCCATACTTTCAGTGCAGAGCCACATGGCAGGGCTTGATCTCGCAAACTGTGAGATCATGACCTGAGCTGAAATCAAGTCAGATGCTTAACCAACTAAGCCACTCGGGTGCCCCTTTTAAACTCTTCTGTAAATTACATATCTAGCAAAATCATAGTTTTATTACTTTTTTTATTGCTAATTTTTTAAATTAAAAAACACTTTTAATGTATACTTTAGAGAGAGACAGTGTGTGTGTGCCTGAGCCGGGGAGGGGCAGAGAGAGAGGGAGTCAGAGAATCTGAAGCAGACTGTGCTGTTAGCGCAAAGCCCAATGTGGGGCTTAAACCCATAAGTTGTGAGATCGTGACCTGAGCAGAAAATGGATGCTCAAGCAACTAAGCCACCCAGGCACCCCTTATTGCTTTTTTTTTTTTTTTTTAAGTTTATTTACTTAGAGAGCAAGTGAGGGGCAGAGAAAGAGGAAGAGAGAGAATCTCAAGCAGCCTCCACACTGTGAACGTGGGGCTGATGTGGGGCTCAGACTCATGAACCATGAGATCACGACCCCAGCCAAACCGAGAGTTGGATGCTTAACTGACTGAGCCACCCAGGCACCCCTAGTTTTATTATTTTTATGTACTCATGAGATGAGAGGGAGCTGTCCTATATTCTCTGGCTTAATAGAACATCTGTGTGAACAAATAACTTTAAGAAAACAAGTGTGGATTTAACTGTTACTACCAGAGAATACATTAGTAACCAAGAAAGCCAGTTAAAATGTGTAGATTGAAGGTTAGCTATATAGGATATAGCAAGAATCTCTGAAATTTAAGTGTCTTATAATATTCCTTTGTTATAAATAACATTTTCAAGGATGATTCGTGATGCAGTATACTATTGTTTTATGCAACTACTGGACAAGAAAGAATAACTTCATTGAATCTTGCTGAAGTACCCCCTCCCAAAACCAGTGGTTAGGACATACAGTCTCAAGCACTAGAATTCAACTACCCAGCAATGAAAGAAAATATTCAAGCTTAATATGTCAAAATTTATAATATGGAAAGAAAAAAAAGGCAGATTATGATTATTAACAAGTAGAATACTTGATAGTATTTGTTTAGTATAGATATAGCTTCTTGTTGCTATTTAGATATCACTTAGATTTTATTTTTCTTGAAAGTTCTTCTTTGATTCTTAAGGCTTATTTTCTGCTATATATCACTTGTTCAGTATTTTAATGAGAAAGTTTATAGTATATTTTTTATGGCTTAAACTTTGAAACAATTCATGAGCTTTATTATAACATATAAACTACAATAATATTCTGTAGGGCTTTTTTTTTTTTTTCTTCAGTCTCTTCTTCTCTATGTACCATTAGCCAAGATTTAAGAGGGTTAATTCTCAATCTTGTACACCCTGGAAGAAGCTTGAGAAATCATGGTTAATTTCTACTTCATTTGGAGTCTAAGTGTTGTCCAGTAGTGCTTTCTATGATGATGGAGTATTTCATATCTGCATTGTCCATATCTGCATTGTAGCTACTAGTAACATGTGGTTTTTGAATAGTTAAAATGTGCCTACTGTGACCAAGGGGTTGAATTTTAGATTATATTTATTTAAAATTTTAATCTAAATAACTACATATGGGTGGAAATTATGTTGGATAGAACAGGATAGAGATTTCAGAATCTTCTTGGATTATATATGTCCCATCTCCTAGTTCATATTGCATTCACACAAAAAATACAACTCACATTAAAGCAGTGAAAGAAACACTCTAGTTTGGGGCAAGTTGTAGTTCATAAATCACCCATTTTCTTCTATGAAAAAGGAAGGGGAAAATGCAACTATTCAGAAGAGAAAATATGTTTACACAGTTGCTCTGAATTGCCTATTAACCAGACCTTCACTTAATTTATCTTTTGGTGAAGTGGTTCTCAAGCTTTAGCGTACATAAAAAATCACAGATGACATTGGTGGGTCCCATCGCTACAATTTTATGTTAGTGATTCTGAGGTGGTAGCCTGAGAATTTCCACATTTATTACATCCCTGATGGTGCTGATTCTGCCAGTATGAGATTTGAAAACTGCTATAGGGGAATTCTTAGTGGAACAGATGATCATCTCAGTCATGGTTTTTGGCCTGTTGGAGCCTCTGTTCCACTGCTACTGTGGGAATATTCTCTCCAGCAGTCCTCATTTCTCTTAAAAAAAGAGAAAATTCACTGGCCTCTACCCCACCCAGTAAGAAACAAAACAGGCTGAAAATTGAGTTAAATCAATGTTGGCATCAGTTTTGCACTTAAAGAGGGGGAAAAAAATTAGTGAATAGAGAGAGAAAATGACTGCAGGAAATCCTAATGATTGTTAGTTCTCAAAACATGTTTATGAATGCTAGGGAATAAGTACTGGAGTGTTTTAGTAATAGTAAAAAGAGATATATGTTGAATTATGTAAGAATTTTATAAGAGTGGAAGGGAATTAACATGAGAGGAATTTGGTGAATGGGTTACTTAGGTTTAGTAAGTGTAGTTTATCTGATAGCATATTTGTGACTGAAAAAGGGAAAAAATGTAATCTGATTAATGGATAGGTTTTTCGTTTTGGCACTTAACATCTTTTCTAACTTTTTCTTTGTCCTCTTTCAATCTTAGCTGATAGCAGAAGAATTTTGTCTAAAAACATTTTCCAAGTTTGGAGCGCAACCTATACCAGGTAAATGCAATTAATAGGAGTCCAAACAGGTGTGTTTGCGGTAATTAATATACTAATGCCAATTAGTAATGCTTTCTAATTAAATTAGAGATATACATAGGTATAGTAAGTTGGATCATTGTAGATAAATTTAATTCAGGGAAAATGTATCTTTAAATTATTTTTGGGAGATGACAGTATATAGTACTTTCTGATGAATTAATCACAAAATCTCCATTTATTGTCTGCCTTATTAAATGAAATCTATCTTGAAATTGTCCATCTTTATCAGTTGCTTAGCTGCTATTCTAAGATTGTTGTAGAATGTTGTAAAATGTCTTAGTTAAGTGTACATCTTTATGTAATATATTCTTTTGAGATATACTTCATATTCTAAAATGTTTAAAAAGTAAGTTAATATAAAGTTAGGTACCTTACCAAGGACAATTTTCTTTTAAGTGTGGCCAGCAGGAAAGCATTTATAAGATTGTGGGTACAGTTATGTACTATGTTTGTGTCTCACACACACACACGCACACGCGCGCGCCCACACACACACATATGTGAGCCCACACACACACATAGGCGCCCACACACGCACACAACAAAGGATACTGTATTTCTTCTTCATAGGATGATACCAGAATGGATTTCTAAAATCAGTGGAAGTTATGTAAGATTTGAAGAGTATATTGTTTTCCAAACATAATGCTTTGCATGTTCTTCATTTTGAGTTTGAGTCAGTTACTAAAAATAAATACCGTATTATAAAACTGAGTAGATGTAAGCTGGAAGTGGGATGGCAGTGTGTTCTTAGGAAGGTCAACAATATTTACCTCTTCCTAAAGACCCTTAGACTCATCTCAGTGTGCAGAGACTGTCAGTCCCTGGGAAATCAATTCACTCTAAACAAAATTCACAAGAGACAGACAAACAGCAGAATCAGCATGTCTCTCCTGGAGGTCACGCCTCATGAGAAGTCAGATCTTGATCAAAAAGCCTCATTGTCACAAAGAGCAGAAATACTGCATGTCAGCACATTCTTTCCATGTAGATAAGCCTACACAGGAATTAGAAAGTTAATTTGTTGTAAGAGCAGTTGGATGACTGAAGTGTTTAATATCATGAGGCTCAAAAAGGAGTTGTATTGCTGATGGGCCTGTAGATGCTTTGTGGGCCCCAACTCCCCATATTAAGCTTTATCCTACTGGTAGCCTTGTCACTGAGCCTGAAAACTGTTTCCAAATCAGTGAGTTAATTCTCCCTCTTTTCTGGATGTGAATGGGAACTATTCAATATTTTTCTCTTGGGAACCTTCACGTTTATACTTTTGAGACTTTACCTCCTTTTCCACTATGTGTGCCAGTATGTATACTGGTGTACACAGTATTTCTTTGGTGATGTTAATACATTTAGCCAAGTTACAATGTAGTTACAGTATATGTATTCTGATTTGATCTTACAGTTGAACTCTCAGAGGGAAAATTATTCTTTCACTTTTTTTAAGTTCCTAGTTAATATCTCTGAGAGACAGAAATAGTAGACTTTCCTCTAAATTACTTCAATTTAAATGTTTTTCTTGAATTTATTATTGTTCTAAGAATGACTTGACCTTGTCTAGGTTTCAGTAAGGACTGAATACATAATTGTTGTAGTACTTACCCTTTTTATATATCTCCTCTGATTATTTCTTCAAAAGTAGTCCATAAACATTGTTCTTGATACAGATTCCCCTCTAGAAAGTTTGACCATTTTATATTCCCACCATTAGTGTATAAAGATACCCATTTCATTAGACCCTGAACTATAATACTTGTTTTAAAGTGTTCTTCTGTAGGTCTGTAGGTAAGGCATCGTTCAGATTATAGATGAAGAAAGTGTTAATGTTGCTCACAATAATGGCATTAGTGTTTAATAGTTGCTCGTAAAGTTTATGTGCTAATTTTGAAAGTAATCTCTAAAACAGTAAGTGTTCTCTTAAAAACATTTTTAACAGTTTTGTTGAGTTATTCTGTACCAGTCAATTCACCCATTTACAGTATACAATTCAGTGCTTTTTAGAATATTCACAGATTTATACAGTCATCACTCATACTCAATTTTAGGATGTGCTTTTTTTTAATACAAAATTTTCGTCTTAGAGATGTGTGGTCTTTTTTTTTTTTTTTTTTCAAAGAATGGCTTTTAGAATCAAATAGTTTATAATTAAGGCGTTGACATGTGCTAAAGCGTGAATAAGGTATTTAACATAAAGTCAAACGTCGTCACTGATGGCAAAAATGAAAAAGTGCTATCTTGTTTTGTTTTTATTTTTTTAAATGTTTTTTTTTTTTTTGAGAGAGAGAGAGAGAGTGTGAGCAGGGGAGGGTCAGAGAGAGAGGGAGATACAGAATCCAAAGCAGGCTCCAGGCTCTGAGCTAGCTGTCAGCACAGAGCCTGATGCAGGGCTCGAACCCATGAACTGTGCGATCATGACCTGAGCCGAGGTCGGATGCTTAACCGACTGAGCCACCAAGGTGCCCCAAAAAAGTGCTATCTTGAAGAATTTTGAAATTAAAGGTTTAAAATAAAGAACTCTAGAAAAAACTCTTTGTATCTTTTCATGTAGCTAAAAGACCAGCTTCAGGACAAAGCTTGGCTTCTGTTGTATCTGCTCAGAAAATTACAAAGCCTGCCGCCAAATATGGAGTACCTTTAACATATAAGAAATTTGGAGATAAAAAATTACATGAAAAGAAACCACTCCAAAAACATAAACAGGTATGATCATATTATAAACTGTGTTAGTAACAAATTAAATTTGATCTTTTTTTATTGCGGCTCAATTCATTTATCTTGATACTCATAGAATTGTTTTCTTTAAGTTACTAAAGAATGCTGCTATTCCCTGCTTCATCAGTCTTCTAAAACTAGGAGAGTTACAGAATCACAAGGAAACATGAAGTAGATATATTAAGTCGTTAGTGCAATAAAAAGAAAGTGATGTTATCTGTGAAATCACTTTTGAACAACCTAAGCAGAGCGTTTGTTTTTGTGCATAAGACAAGTAAATGTAATACACTTGATAAAAATGTGGGAAAATTTTGTATTTGAGAATTTACAATCAGATAAATAAATCAAAATCATAGAGCTGGAAGGAATGTTACTGTATAGTCTGCTTTATAGTATTTCATTTTATTAAAAAATGTTTTTTTTCTGGGGGAGTGAGCAAGAGAAAGAGAACATGTACGTGCCCCTCCCACGCACATGCCCTCTCATGTGCTTGGGAGAGTGGCAGAGGGAAAGGGAGAGAGGATCTTAAGCGGGCTTAATCTCATGACCATGAGATCATGACCTGAACCAAAATCAAGAGTTGGCACTTAACCATCTGAGCCACCAGGCACCCCTACTTTGTAATATTTCAGATGAAAAAATTAAGGTTTATAGCATTTAGGTGACATGTCCACAAACACAGTATTAGTTGCAGGAATTTGACCTTATTCTTCATATGAATAGCTGCACACTTTGGTATATGAAGCCTGTTTTGTTTTGGACTACATATGCACATGCGTACATACATAGTGTTTAGGCACATGTGAACACACTGCTGTAAGATAAACTTCATGGAATCATCAGTGACTTCAATTCAAATGATTTAAGCCTTCAGATAACTTGTATAAGTCAGCATCTAGTCAGGAGAAAAAACACATAGTAATTGGATTAAGCAAAGTTTACTATAAATATTTGTAGGAAATGAACTTTAAGGAATAAAGAACTCTAAAGAATATAGGAATAGCAGATACAGGAAACAGCCACTACTCTTAGCACTGAGACAGAGTACCCAAAGAAGGAATAGACTTTGGAAGGTCTCCCCAACCCCATCCTTAAGGCTGAGATTCCGATTTTACTAGGTGTGCTATGGCTATAAACCGCTGGATGGTGGAGTTCACTGACGTGTCATAGGCCAAGGCTGGCAAACATGAAACTGTTCAGTCTAGAGCTGATGAAGCTCCTGGGAACCTACCTCGAGTGCCAGTGAAATGCATGGGGAATCTGCTCGGAGGATCGTTCAATCTCCTGGGAAGCCTTTTGGAGAGCTGGCGGGAGTTGCCAGAGGTTGCTGAACTCTGGGTAGTGGGCTGGTGGGAAGCTGGCCTCGGGCTTGCCGCTGAGGCTCACAGGGAAGCTGGTAGGGGCACTGGCAGAAGAGTCCTGGCAGCTGCCCACAGGGTAGATGTCCCCGTGTGTCCCACACGCGGCAGGGACAGGAAGAAAGGGAGCGTGCGAATCAGGAACAGGGGCTGCCTCCTTCTGCACTGTCCTTCCAACGTCGTCTGCTGACGAAGCTTAACATCATGATAGCAAGCAGAGAAGAAGTGTTATGGTGTCCATTTTCTTCTAACAAGGAGGGCAGTGGAGGGTGAATTTGCACCTGGGGGTCAATATAACTAGCACACCAGTTTTTCCTCCCTTCCTCCCTTCCTCCCTTCTGCATAACATTTATCTAGGCCTAATGGACCAATGCCATCATATCTTTATTCTTCTTCTTGAATCACTACAAATCCTGGACTGCAGACTCCTCCCTCTGGTCATAGCCTAACCTGACCCCCACCTTCTGCATAGCTCCTTAAACTCTTCCAGAAAGCCCTCTTGTCTCTTGTTGCACATTATCAGCAAAATCCCTGGTGTTCTACATTTGTAGAGATTTTCTTCACCTTTTTTTGCTCTAAAACCTGGCTTGTCCCTGCACAAACTGTTGTACAACTCTCTTACATAGTGACTGTTTTCTCTCTAATCCCCTTATACTGCTGAGTCTAGAAGTGGGATGACGGAGGTATTCTCCTTGCTTCTCGCTGCAAGACTCTCCCCTGATCCCTAACTATCCTCCTGCCCCCCATGGTCTTTGAGGCTTTTCCTACCAGACTGTATCACCTGTTAACCCTTTGTGTTAGGCTTATCTGTAGACCCTCATTTTTTGAAAAGCTTAACACTTGACTCCCTGTCACTCTTTCCAACACCGTCCTAATTCTTCGTGATTTCAGTATCCAAAAAAAGTGATCCTTCCAATAGTCCACAGTCTTTTATTTGTTCTCTTTCATTGATTTTGTCTACCTCCCTAGAACTCTCACCTGTGGTCATGCCATCACATTTATCATTGTTGATCATAGCAACTCTCCCATAGACTCCATTATAACCATCCTATGACTTACCACTACTTCTGTGTTTCCAGCTTAGTCCTCAAGGATTCTATACCCACAACTTCTTTGTCCTATTTGGATACACGGATTGTACTAGGTTTTTGTTTGTTTTTTTTTTTCTTCCAGTGCCCCTCTCTTCATTTTTATTTCCCCATTTTGGCTTAGAATCCATGTTCTCTCACTGTAATTTACAAAGCCCCTTTCTCTTTCGTTATTACAAATTACCTGGCAAAAACTAACTTCGTGAAATCCAACTCTCCATCTCTTTTGTGCCTGAACTCGGGCAATGGAATGTGGTTGGAGAAAGTATACAACTATTCTGACTGGTCTCACTTTAAGCTTATAACTAATAATGTCAAGTGAACACCTTCTGGCCATTCTATTATATTTCCTCAGTCCAATTATGCTCCCACTTTCTGGATGGTTATTTCTTACCTTCTTGTTTTCCACTTCAAGCTAATGACCTTGCTTCCTCTTTTACTGAGAAAATAGAAGCAATTGGAAGAAAATTTTCCCACGCTCTCATTACCAGTACCTCCAGTCAGTCATATCTGTTTGTAAATATCTGCCTTTCATCCTGTTACTGTGTGATCAGACAGAGTGATCTATCTCTGGTCTGATCTGAGTCAACTCTGCCATTTTTCAAAAAGTTTTTATTTAAATTCCAGTTAGTTAACATGCATATTAGTTTCAGGTGTACAATATAGTGATTCAGCACTTCCATATAACACCCGGTGTTCATCACAAGTATACTGCTTAATCCCCATCACCTATTTAACTCATCCCCCTACCCAGCTCCCCTCTAGTAACCATCAGTTCTCTATAGTTAAGAGTCTGTTTCTAAAAATAAAAGAGAAACTCTGTTAGTTTGCCTCTTTTTCCCTTTGCTCATTTGTTTCTTAAATTGAACTGTGCCATTTGTATACTATTTTTTTTATTATTTCTTTGCCTACTAAAGGACTCACACTCTTTTCTGCATCATTATATTTTTTCCTCTCTACTACTGAATCATTCCTGTTAGCAAACAAATATGTTGTGTGTTCCTTCTTTAAAAAAACAAAACAAAACAAAGCCCTTTCCTTATCTCTCATATTTCTTTCCTGTTACTTTCCTATATCTCTGCATAACTTTTCTAGAACTTTGGGGTTTTTTTATGTGATTTTAGTGTTTTATTTATTTTTGAGACAGAGGCAGAGCATGAGAGGGGGAGGGGCAGAGAGACAGGGAGACACAGAATCTGAAACAGGCTCCAGGCTCTGAGCTGGCTGTTAGCACGGCTCAAACCCACGAACGAGAGATCATAACCTGAGCCGAAGTCGTAGGCTTAACTGACTGAGCCACCCAGGCGCCCCTCTTCAGCCTCAGTTTTTGACTCACTTGGTTACCCCCTCCTTCTTTGAATTTTTTCTTCACTCGAGTTCAGAGTATTGCACTCTTCTGATTCCCCTCCTACCTGATTGACTGCTTTTCTCAGCCTCCTTGGTAAGTTCCTCCTCATGTTTCTGACCTCACATGCTGAAGTGCTTAAATCCTCAGTCCTTGGATATCTTCCCTTTTGTGCCACGCTCACTTTCTAATTGACAGCATCTAAAAACTGACCCCTAGATTTTTATCTGCAGCCAATACTCCTTTCCTGAACTTGAGACTTCTATTTGTCTTAACATCTTTAATTGAATTTCTGATAGGCATCTCAAAGTTAGCATGTGTAAAACTGACCTGTTGATTCCATACCTCCACATATCCTTTCTTATTTTAGTAAATGGTAACTTCATCCTTCCATTTGTTCTCATCAAAGACTTGGAGTTATCATTGACCCTTCCAACATCACATTCTGTTGACTCTGCCTTCAAAATACATGCAGTGATCTTGACTATTCCTCATTATTTCTATCACCAGATTAGTCCTAGCCACCCTCATCTTTCACCTTGATTGTAATGTTTTGGCTGATCTCACAGCTTCTAAAATTACTTCAGTATGTTGTCACTTGAGCAGCCTAATGCTTCTTTTACCATGAAAGTCAGGTCGTTGCACTTTGCTGCTTGAAACTTTGCAGTGGCTTTTCATTTTACTCAGTAAAAGCCAGAGTCTTTATAGTGGTCTGCAGAGCGCTCTGATGCCCTACCTCTCCAAGCCTTGTTTTCTACCCACCCATTTGCTACCTAACCCCCCAGCCGAGCCATGCTAATTAACTTTGTTGCCTTCAAATATTTTAAGCACTTATCCGAAAAATGTTTTTACTTCCTATTCTTCTTTCCTAAAGGACTGTCCCTTAAGAAGACTGCATGATTTTCCTTAGCTTCCTTCAGACTTGTACTCAAAACATGAATACAGCCTTAACCCTGATAACTTAATGTCAGTTAACTGTCCCTCAACCCTACCCCCACAGTTTTATCTACTTTATTGTGCTTTTTCTTCACGTTATAACTATCTAATGCATGTGTATTTCTCACTTGTTTATTGCTAGTCTTTTTTATTTCAGTGTAAGCTCTGCGAAAGCAGGGATTTCTTTGTTGTTATGTTCACTGGTTCCTGGCAAATGATTCTTGGCAAGTACTAGGCACTCAATAAATACTGCAGAAGTGAATGATTGAATAGAGTAATGAATAAGAACTTAGATTTTTGTCAAGCCAGTCAAATGTTAATTCTTTAAAAGAAGGAGCCACAACCAAAAATGTAGTAAAACTATTTACAAAAGCCATTTTGTTTTTAGCAAATTGATAAATAATAAAAAAAATAAAACCTAGAGAGAAAAACTGGTCAACTCTCTTTGGAACACTGGAATGTGTCTTTATTCCATGAGGTGAATAGTGAAAAAAAAAATAGTTTTAATAACTATTTCCTTAGTTAGATAAGTCGTCTGCTAAGATTATTATCAACACTAGCACTAAGGATGCTAAAAATTAATATAATTCCTTTACCTATCCTACCCAAGAATTCAAATCTAAGCATCATTAGACCCAGGATTATTGACCTAAAAAACATAAAATGTATTCATGTAGCAAACATTCAGTGACACAGTACTGTCCTACCATATAAATATCATATTCATGTTTGTGTATTGAACACTTTCCAGAACCTGCATTCCATCCACCAGTCTCAATAATGCTCCAAAATTGCAAGTCTGATCTAAATTGGACTTAGCACTAGTTAATGACTAGTATGCACCTTTTTCTTTCTTTTCTTTATTCATTACATACCTCTTCTTCCTTTTTAAATGTTCTTTTTTTCTTTGACTCCTTTTCCTGTGTAGGTACTTATGATATTGATACTGTATTATTATGTGAGTTGTTGGAGAATACAAAGTAAAGATTATATTTCTTCTGCCCTCAAATACTATAGTTTAACTAAAGAGTCATAGGCCTGAGAAAAGGCAAAAGGAGCAATTTGTGTGACAACTGTTCACATTGTTAGCTTGTAGTTTAAAGAATGTAATATTGGCATTATGTCCTGGAACACTGCAGTACTGGCAGTGTGAATTTGATTTTTATAGTTCTCCATTGATTTAAGAGATGTCAGGAACATAGTATAATTTTTTTCCAAAGACTTTTCTTGTTTCTTCCCCAGTTGTCCCTTTTACCCTCTAAAAAACAGGGAACAGGACAGTAACTCCTTTAGCACCTCATGTATATCTTCTTCATGCTGTTTTATTAGACTGTGGTCTCTGAAGTTAGGGACAGTGTTTTACATTTTGCACAAAGTGAGTGTTTAATAAGATTTAAAAAAAAATAAGTGAATAAATGAGTAAATGAAATGAATTCCAGCCTAGACTGTGTGCCACCATTGCTGTCATGCTCAGGGCCACTCTGTTGTAACAGCCACAATCTCCTATGCCAGTCTTTGAGGCCTCTTTTACCCGGATCTGGGCTCTGGTCCCCAGCTGCACTGCCACAGGCCACTGTTGAGTCAGTTCACTGCTACCCACCTGAGTCGCATGAGACAAATGAGGAGTTTGATGCTCGCTGGGTAACATATTTCAACAAGCCGGATACTGATGCTTACGAATTGAGTAAAGGGATGAACATGCTGGTAGGCTATGATCTGGTTCCAGAACCCAAAATCATTGATGCTGCTTTGCAAGCGCAGACAACCAAAAGATTTCACTAGTGCAGCTCACACCCTAGAGGTTATTAAGGACAAAGCAGAACCTCATAAGGAAAAGTACTCCTATGTCATCCAGGAACTTAGACCAACTTTAAATGAACGGGGAATCTGCACTCGAGAGGAGCTGGGCCTTAACATAGTGTAAGCCCATGGATGGGCTTCTCAAGGGTTTATTCATAATGCTACTGGTTATAAACAGTCACCTGGAAACACTGATGATAACATATTACTTTATTTGAACAAGTGTTCCTTTACTGAGTACCAAACGATGTAATGGCAACTTGAACTTTAATAAAAGGGAAATGAGTTTGAATTGAAAAGGAAAAAAAATGAATTCCAAATCAGGAAAGTAATATTTTTTAATATTTTAATAGTACTTCACAGGGTTAAAGGCCAGATAACAAGTCTACTTTTAGGTACACATAGAAAGCCAGTGTTGTTGAGTTTTTATTCTCAGTGCTTAAAGGTGACTACTTCAATGTGGGGTCATGAAAAGAAAGCTTTAGAGCATTTGAATTAATTTTTATATACATGTGTAATTCTTGAGATGGAAACTTCATTTCTGTTACAGTTTTTGGCTCTTTGAGGTAGTTTAAGTAGTATAACTTTGATCTGCAGTTTTTTTCTGCAAAGTATGTATTCTAATAAATTTGCCATAGCCTTTTAAAATAGTTTTGAGAGTTAAGAAAAGAAACTTTCCCATTATCCACACACTGGAGTTAATTTAACTTAATTTTGTTGTGGGCCCCTCCACATTTGTATTCAAATATACATTGCTTGTATTTTTCATGTGGTTCTGATAGTTTATAGATAATTTGTTGTGTTTTAATTTAACATTATATATACTTAATGTAAATTTTTATTATTACCATCGGTAGTTGTATTATAATTTACTGATATGAAGTCAGTCAGATTGATTACATTCTTATAAATGTCTTTTTTTTAATTTAATGGGATATAATTGACATATAATACTATATTGGTGTCAGGTGTACCACAGGCTGATTTGTATACATTGTAAAATGGTAACCACATTAAGTCCATCTGTCACCTTACTAAGTTAATACAATGTTTATTGACTATATTCCCCTGTTACACATCACCAACCCATGACTTAATTTTTTTTTTTTTTTACTTAATTATTTTATAACTGGAAGTTTGTACTTCATGATCCTCTTCACCCAGTTTGTCCCTCACTCCCACACCCCTCCCTTCTGGTAACCATCAGCTTGCTCTCTCTAGCTATGAATCTGAGTTTTGTTTTTTGTTGCTTAGATTCCACATATAACTTAAACCATCCAGTATTTGTCTTTCTCCAACTTATTTAACTTAGCATCATACCCTTTAAGTCCATCTGTGCTGTCACATATGGTAAGATTTCATTCCTTTTTTTTGGCTGAGTAGTATGCCATTGTGTATATATAACACCTCTTCTTTATCTCTTCATTTACTGATAGACACTTGGGTCATTTCCATATCTTCAGCATTGTAAATAATCCTGCAGTGAACATAAGAGTACATATAGCATTTCAAATTAATGTTTTCATTTCTTTTGGATAGATACCTACTAATAGAATTGTTGGATCATATGGTAGCTCTTATTCTGGGTTTTTGAGGAACCCTTATACTGTTTTCTGTAGTGGCTGCACAAATTTACATTTCCACCAGCACTGCTCCCTGGGTTGTTTCTCTTTTTTCCACGTCCTTGTCAACACTTGTTATTTCTTATCTTTTTGATGCTATCCCTTTTTTTATAATATTTTTTTTTACCATTTTTATTTATTATTGAGAGACAGAGACAGAGCATGAGCAGGGGAGGGGCAGAGAGAGGGGGAGACACAGAACCTGAAGGAGGCTCCAGGTTCTGAGCTATCTGCACAGAGCCCAACGTGGGACTCGAATTCACAAGCCATGAGATCATGACCTGAGCCGAGGTTGGACACTTAGCCTACTGAGCCACCCAGGCACCCCTGAGAGTATCCTTTCTGACTAGTGTGAGGTGATAGCTCATTGTAATTTTGATTTCTGTTTCCCTTATGATAGTGATGTTGAGCATCTTTTCATGTGCCTGTTGTTTGATGAGTTTCTTTAATGTCATGGGTAGATTTTTTTCTCATTTTGTGCAATTACTATAAGCTTTTGAATTGTGGTATTGTGAGATTCACGTTATATTATCTCTACATGTATGAGAGCTTATGCTAATAGTAACTTAAATCTGAACACCTTCCAAAACTGTACATTTTTTTTTTGCTTCCACATGTTATATTTTTAAGTCACTCTTATGGGGTTTTTTGTTTTATATATCCCTTAACTAGTTATTGTAGTTAATTTTCTTCTCTCAAGCTTTTTAGTATCTTTATACGCAATTAATCCCATCTCTACCATTTCTCATGAGATTTTTACTTTTTACATTTTCACATTATATTAATTATTGCATTTCGACTTAAAGAGATCCTTTTAGGGGCACCTGGGTGGCTTAGTCGGTTGAGTGTCCAACTTCGGCTCAAGTCATGATCTCACGGTTTGTGGGTTCGAGCCCCACATCAGGCTCTGTGCTGAATGCTTGTTTAGAGCCTGGAGGCTGCTTCAGATTCTGTGTCTCCTCTCTCTGCCCCTCCCCACTCACTTTCTGTCTCACTCTATCTCTCAAAAATAAATAAATGTAAAAAAGCAATTTAAAAAAAAAGAATCCCTTTAATATTTCTTGTAAGGCTGATTTAGTGGTGATAAACTCCTAAATCTTCTGTTTGTGTGGAAAACTCTATCTTCCTTAAAAACTGAATGGTAATCTTGTAAGGTAGAGTCTTCTAGGTTGTAAGTTTTTTCCTTTAAGCACTTCTGATATGTTATGCCACTTCATTCTGGCTTGTAAACTTTCTGCCTGGAAATCTGATAATCTGACAGCCTTCTGGGGTTTCTCTTGTATGTAGCGATTTGCTTTTCTCTTGCTGTTTTTAAGGTTTCTTCTTTACTTTTGACATTTTAATTATAATGTGTGTTGGTGTGACCTTCTTTGGGTTCATTTTATTTGGAACTCTGGGCTCCCTGGACTTGGATGTTTGCTGTCATCCCTAGGTTTGGAAAGTTTAAGCCATTAGTTTTTAAATTAAACTTTTTGTCCCTTTCTCCTTCTCTTCTTTCCGGTACCCGTATAATGCAAATGTTACTTCACTTGATGTTGTCCCATAGGTCTTTAAGTTATTTTCATATTTTTAATTCTTTTTTCATTTTGATACTCTGGGTGAGTTTCCTGACTTTATCTTCCAACTCACTGATCTGTACTTATACTTCATCCAGTCTGCTGTTGAACCTCTCTCATGTATTCTTTAGTTCGGTTTTGTATTCTTCAGCTCTGACTTTTGTTTGGAACTTTATGTTTTCTTTCAGTTTGTTGAAGTTCTCACCGTGTTCACCCATTCTTCTCCTGAGTTCAGTGAGCATCTTTATGACAATTAGTTTGAATTCCTTATCAGGTAGATTACTTACCTCCTATTCATTTAGGTCTTTTTTTTTTTTTTTTTTTTTTTTTTTTTTCATTTTTTTTTTTTTTTTTTTTTTTTTTTTTTGAGATTTTTGTCTTGTTCTTTTGTTTGGAACATATTTTTCTGTTTTCTCATTTTGATTGACTTTCTCTATTTGTTTCTATGTATTAGGTGAAAGAGTACCTATCCCAGTTGAAGGAGCAGCCTTCTTTTGAAGCATATTCTTCTGTCTGCCCATTTTGCTAATCTTTCTGTGTTTCTGTGAATTATGTGGAAGAGCTACTTTTCCTGAACTTGAAGGAATGGTCTTGTATATGGTTGTCCCTTATGTAGACTCTGTACTTGATGACTTTTGGTGGCTGGCTAGAACTGTGGCTCATGTGGCCTGTAGGTCACAGGCTATTCTGTGCTGGGGCTGCCTTGGTAGATGTTGTGGGCCAGAGTAGTCCTGTTGCTCTATGTGCAGAGGTGATCTGACAGGACAGCTGAAGCTGAAACGGGTCCAAATAAGGGATCTGGGACTCTCAAGGCAGTGGGCACCCTGGCGGGACAGCTTCAACTGAAGTGGGTACATGCCTGGGAGGGGTTGTCTAGGGACTCTACGTGCAGAGGACACCTTGTCAAGGACAGCTGAAGCAGACCTGAATACAACACAGGGGGTCCCGTGGGAGAGGGCACCTTGGCAGCATTGGTGAAGCTGAAGTAGGTATAGCTTTTGGTGTTCTAGGACTCTGCACAGAGGGCGCCTTGACAAAGTGACTAGAGCTGGCGGCTGATGCAGTTTTGGAGTGGTGGGGGGATGGCTGGAGTCAATGGCAAGGAAAGGATTCTTTAGACATCTTTGGTGCAAAAAGGTGATTTTATTAAAACACAGGGACAGGACCCATGGGCTGAAAGAGCCGCTCTGGGGTTGTAGGGAATGACTGATTATATGCTGTGGAGTTGGGGGAGGAAAAGGCAAAAGGGACGTTTCCAAAAGGACTTTCATATACTAAAGAAGACTCATAAGATACTGAGGCCTAGCTAGCTATTGTCAAGCTAAGGTTGTTTTTCCCTCTAGCAAAACATCAACATTAAGACAGTTGGGACTTCTTAGAGGAATGTGGTACTCTGCTTGTCTCAAGTATTTGTCAGTAAGCAGTAAATTTCATTTTATCTACATTTCCTTATGCCTTTGTTCCCCGCCTCAGCACTAGTACAGTTGGGGGTGTTCTGGGGCAGCTGGAGCTGAAACAGGCATCAGCTGGGAGGTCCCATAAAACCATGCATCGGGGGTGCCCTACTAAGTTGTCTGAAGCCAGAGTGATCTGGGCCTGGTGTGTTCCAGGCTGCTTTGCACACCTGCGTCACCTTGATACAAAAGCTGGAACTGTCATAAGTGCTGACCCAGGGTGTTGTGTGCACTGCCCAGTGGCTGCCTTCACGTGGGTTAGAGGTCCAGGGCCCACGGAAGCAGCAGGCCAGTTTACTAAGGTGGAGAGGGAGCATAAACTGTGTTGCTCACTAGCCCCTCTGACTTGGCCCAGGAAGGATACTAGCAGCTCTCCCGTCCTTGGTAGAGTTTTAGGATTGGCTCTGTTATATGCTAGTTGTTCTTTTAAAGCCCCAGAGCCTCTGGGGGCTAGTGTGGAATAGGGAGCCAGAGCATGCTGAGGCAGATGGG